CATACTCGAACCGACCAGACCGCGTAGCTCACTTGGCAGAGCATTGGGCTAGTATTCCAAAGGTCGTAGGTTCGACTCCCACCGTCGTCAGGCATATTTTTCAAGCTTGCTTGGTGTGGATATACACTCAGAGTAACATCACAAGCATCATATTCACCTGAGTACATTACACCAACACAGAGAAATCATAATCTAAGATATTGATACCCGGAGATATTGATATCCTAAGATACTGAACGATATCCTAAGATATTGATATCCTAAGATACTGATCGATGTCCTAAGATATTGATATTCTAAGACACTGTATGATATAATAAGATATTGTATTATATCCTAAGATATTGTATGACATCCTAATGGAGCTGGCTCGGAGGAAGAACACTGGATAAATTCATCCTCGACTTTATCTTCCTTATCTTTATCTTGCTTATCCTTATCACTATTTTCTTATTTTCCTTATCTTTATCTTTCTTATCTTCCTCTTATCCTTATTTTTAACTCTTATCTTCCTTATCTTTATCTTCTTTTCTTTCTTATCTTTCTTATCTTTCTTATCTTTCTTATCTTTCTTATCTTTATATTGTTATATTTATATTCTTTTCTTTATCTTGTTATCCTTATCTTTATTCCCTTATCTTTATCTTGCTTATCTTTATCTTGCTTATTCTTATCTTTATCTTTATCTTTATCTTTATCTTTATCTTTATAATTATCTTTATCTTTATCTTTATCTTCATATTTATCTTTATCTTTATCTTTATCTTGCTTATTCTTATCTTCATATTTATCTTTATCTTTATCTTTATCTTGCTTATCTTTATCTTGCTTATTCTTATCTTTATCTTTATCTTTATCTTTATCTTTATCTTTATCTTTATCTTTATCTTTATCTTTATCTTTATCTTTATCTTTATCTTTATCTTTATCTTTATCTTTATCTTTATCTTCATCTTCATCTTCATATTTATCTTCATATCTGATTATCTTCTTCTCATCCGTATCTTTATCTTCCAAATCTTTTTCTTATCCACATATTTATCTTCTTATCTTCCTTATCTTCATCTTCTTATCTTCTTCTCATCCTTATCTTTATCTTCCAAATCTTCTTCTTATCCATTTTTTTATCTTCTTATCTTCCTTATCTTTATCTTCTTATCCTTATCCTTATCCTTATCCTTATCTTTATCTTTATCTTCTTTTTCTTGTTTATCCTTATATTTATCTTCTTATCTTATCTTCCTTATCTGTATCTTCTTATCTTCTTAATCTTTCTTATATTTATCTCCCGCGTCTTCTTCCTTATCCGTGCCGGTTCGGCTCCGAGCCTCATTGGCACAGATAAGGAAGAAGATGCGGAAGAGAAATATAAGGAAGGTTAAGAAGATAAGAAGATACAGATAAGGAAGATAAGATAAGAAGATAAAGATAAGGATAAACAAGATAAAGAAGATAAAGATAAGGATAAGAAGATAAAGATAAGGAAGTTAAGAAGATAAATATAAGGATAAGAAGAAGATAAGGATGAGAAGAAGATAAGGATGGAAAGAAGATAAGAAGATAAAGATAAGGATAAGAATAAGCAAGATAAAGACATGTCTTTACATGTCATGTCTTACAAGACATGTCTTTACACGTACATGTCTTGTACAAGGAAGATAAAGATGAAGATAAGAAATAAAGATAAGGAAGAATAGAAGAAAAAAAAATGGATAAGAAGTAGATTTGGAAGATAAATATAAGGATGAGAAGAAGATAAGAAGATGAAGATAAGGAAGATAAGAAAATAAATATATGGATAAGAAGAAGATTTGGAAGATAAAGATACGGATGAGAAGAAGATAATAAGATAAAGATAAAGATAAGATTAAGCAAGATAAAAATAAGCAAGATAAAGGTCAAGAGGATAAAAATAAGGATAAGAAGATAAATATAAGAAGATAAATATAAGAAGATAAAGATAAGAAAGATAAGAAATAATAAGAAGATAAGGATAAGGAAGATAAGAAGATAAAAATAAGGATAAGAAGATAAATATAAGAAGATAAATATAAGAAGATAAAGATAAGAAAGATAAGAAATAATAAGAAGATAAGGATAAGGAAGATAAGAAGATAAAAATAAGGATAAGAAGATAAATATAAGAAGATAAATATAAGAAGATAAAGATAAGAAAGATAAGAAATAATAAGAAGATAAGGATAAGGAAGATAAGAAGATAAAAATAAGGATAAGAAGATAAATATAAGAAGATAAATATAAGAAGATAAAGATAAGAAAGATAAGAAATAATAAGAAGATAAGGATAAGGAAGATAAGAAGATAAAAATAAGGATAAGAAGATAAATATAAGAAGATAAATATAAGAAGATAAAGATAAGAAAGATAAGAAATAATAAGAAGATAAGGATAAGGAAGATAAGAAGATAAAAATAAGGATAAGAAGATAAATATAAGAAGATAAATATAAGAAGATAAAGATAAGAAAGATAAGAAATAATAAGAAGATAAGGATAAGGAAGA